TATATATGTGCATGGATGAAGGAAGCTAGGAGGAGGGCACAGAATCTGAGAGAAACAGGTTAAAAAAAAATACAGCAGAGAGGTCCATCAGCTGCACTAGACATTGATGGAAGTGAACCAAGCAAGTCAAGGGCAGCCATGAGAGGGAGGGAATGAGAGAAAGGGAATAGCTTACACTAAGCAAAAGGAAAGAGATGTACATATCACTCTATTTGGAAGAAATTGTTGTATTGTCAACGTTTGTAGAGTTCAAAGCTTTATAGACTGTGATAATGACAATTCACCTTGTAAAGATTAAAATGTGTTTGTGACTTTAGCTAAGTATCACAATATTGTGAAGTTTATGTAATCACTTAATGTCATTAAAGAAATAAAAAATATTCAAAAAAGTCTTATTAGAGAATTCAGCTGTGAATCCATCAAGACCTGGGCTTTTTCTTTCTGGAATACTGCTAATTATTTCCTTAATCTCATTGGGCCTATTTAAGTGATTTGTGTCTTCTGGGTTTAGCTTATGCAGTTTGTATGTTTCTAGGAATTTATCCATTTCTACTAGATTTTTCATCTTATTTGAATATAGATTTTGAAATTAGTCCTTCATACTCGTTTGAATATCTTGGATGTTTGTTGGAATGTTTCTTTTGGCATCCCTGATTTTGTAAATCTGAGTCTCTCTTCTCTTCATCTATTTAGCCAGTGGTCTGTCAATTTTATTGATGTTTTTGAAAGATACCTTTTTGTTTTGTTGATTTTATGTATAGTTTTTTTAGTCTCTTGATTTTTTTCCCCTAATCTTTACAATTTTTCTCCATCTTGTAGTTTTAGGTTTGGTTTTTTTTTTTCTACCAGTTTTAGGATTATTTATTGTGCTGTTTCTGTTTTCTTTGTATGTACTCTTAAAGCTATGAACTTTCCTCTCAACACTGCTTTTGCAGTATCCCAGAGGTTCTGATATGATGTATTTTCATTTTCACTGAATTGTAAGAAATTTCTGATTTCCTCCTTTATTTCTTCAGTGACCCACATGTTATTCAACAATGTATTATTCAGTCTTATTATGTTTGAGTGTTTCTTCCAGTATGTTTTGTTGTTGAACTAGTTTAATTCCATTGTGATCAGATAGGATGCAAAAGTTACATTGCTCTTTTTGTAGTTGTTCAGGTTTGTTGTGTGTCCTAGGATATAGCTAGTTTTGGATATTCTATGGGCTGCTGAGAAGAATGTGAATTGTGTGGTTGTTGGGTGAAATGCTCTTACATGTCCATTAAGTCCATGTGGGTTATGGTGTTATGTAATTCGGAAGCTTTTTTTGCTGATCTTCTGTTTAGCTTACCAGTTCTTTTCTGAGAATGGAGTGTAAAATTTCCATTATTATTGTGTTGGTGTCTATCATGTTCTGTATGTCTAAGAGTGTTTGTTTAATATATTTAAGTGCTCCATTGTTGAGTGCATAAATATTAGCCACTGTGATTTCCTATTCTTGGATCATTCTGTTTATTAATATGTAATGACCTTCTTTGTCTCTTCGTACTGATTTTAATGAAAAGCCTATTTTTATCACATACCAGTATACTTATTCCAGCCTTCTTGCACAATGCATTTACATGAAAGATCCTTTTTCATGCCTTCACTCAAGATTTGTGTTATCTTTGATTGTGAGAAAAGTTTCATGGAGACAACAAATGATTGGATTTTGTCTTTTGTTCCAATCTTCTCTCCATTTTTTGTTTGGAGAGTTGAACCCATTGATTTAAATGTTACTAATGAGAACTATGTCATTTTTTTCTGCAATTTTGTTGTTTTCCTCTAGTTGTGTTTATTAATGTATCTTTTAGTGATTTTTATTCAATGCTGTGTTTCCTTAACTTTGTTTTTTTTTTTTTTCAGATTATATGCTTCCCTTTGGAATCCATTGTAGTTAGTACTGGTTTGGTGTTCATGAATTTCTTTAGTTTTCCTTTGTTATAAAAACTTTGTTTCACTGTGTTGTGAATCTTAGCTTCACTGGGTGTGCTAATTTGGTTGGCTGTTGCTGTCATTCAGACCTTCACTTATACCACTCTAGACCCTCTTTGAAATCAGTTTGTATGAATAAATCTGCAGTAATTCTAATCATTTTTCCCTGGAAAAAAAGTTCTCTCTTTACTTTGCTGCATTTAAAATGAATTGCTTGTCAAAAGTCTATAAAGTTCTCACTACAATTTCTTCTAAGATTCCATCAGCTAGGAGTTCTGTATATTTCGGTCACATGGGTGAGATATTCCCTCTTAAGATTTGGGAAGTTTTCAGTTATTATTTTGATACATAGCTTTTCAATGATTTTGGTTTTGACTTCTTCTCTCCCATCTATTCCAACTATGCATAGATTTGATCTTTTGGCCGAAGCTGCCAACTCTTTTCTTTTTTTAAAAAAAATTTTTTGTTTTTATTGTAAAGATACTGTACAGACGGGTTACAGTTATAGGAGTAAGGTAACGAGTACATTTCCTACTGAGCATTGTTACTCCCTCCTTTGTTTTTCCCCTACCATCCCTTCCCTCTCCAACTCCACAACTCTATCTCCACCCCTCCCAAGTTGTAAAGTTCATTTTCAACATAGTGTCTTGTACATCTCATTGTTACGTTGGGCCCACCTGTATCATGGTTTCAGCATTTTGTTATTTCCCTTCCCTCCCCAAATTAAAAAAAAAAAATGTATATACAAGATGCAGGGCACCAGAGTAAAAATACAGTGAAAACAGGTTATACCATGGTGGGGGAGAACATACAAAAAAAAAATCACATAGTACATTAAAAACAACAGTGACAAAGATAAAACCTCTTGTGTCCCTATCTTGGGGTTCGTTTTGCTTAACATCGTCTTATATGGACACATGTACATAGTTTTTTACCTTTTCTGCTTGTCTGGTAAGATTATCCTAGATGTATACTAGTTATTGCAAATAAGGGAATCCATAGGACCTATGTTTCTTTGGGCTGGCTTACTTCACTTAATATAATTTTTTTCCAAGTGTTTCCCTATCCTAACAAATAGGATGGTATTCTTTCTGATGGAGGCATAGAATTCTATTGTGTGTGTGTGTGTGTGTGTGTGTGTGTGTATACATACATATATATATTGCATTTTTTTGATCCATTCATCTACTAAGGGACATCTGGGTTGGTTCCATATCTTAGCTATGGTGAATAATGCTGCGATAAACATGATTATTGTGCTGGTAGCTTTAGTTTGGCCTTGTTTGTGATTGTTTTTCTTTTGGGGGGGGGGTTGGTCATGGGGCCTGAACTCTGGGCCTGGGCGCTGTCCCTCAGCTCTTCACCTCAAGGCTAGCGCTCTACCACCTGAGCCACAGTGCCACTTCTGGCTTTTTTTTTCTTTTTGCTTATGTGGTGCTGAGGAATCAAACCCAGGGCCGCATGCATGCAAGGCAAGCGCTCTACCACTGAGCCACTTCCCAGCCCGTGATTGTTTTTCTTGAGTCTCCCTTTGCTATGTGTTTTTTCCATGTCTTTGATTTTTTTTTCCTTATTCCTGTGCTTTATCTTCAACTCCTGATACCCTTGTATCACTTGTTCTGTTGCCTATCATTTCAACTGTGTTTTGCAGTAGGGACACACAACTTTTCATGTCTTGTAGCTCATTGTTGTTGTCAGTTCTCAATGTGTTAATTTCATCTTTCATTCATTGAGGTGTTTAATGTTTTCTTCATTGAAGTATGTAATGTTTCTATCTTCTTATCTATACCTTGTATTTTCTCCATCATTTCCTCCTTTAATTCTATTTGTTTTGGATCTGCCATTTTATTTCATCAGCCAGTTCTCTCAATCATTGTTTTAATGGTTCTGTTGTTCTCCATCTCTTCTTCTTGGCTCTCACTAGAGAACTTTCCTGACTGTTGTTGATTTTTGAAAGTGGCAAATTGTCTTTCTTGTTTGTGAATTTTGTGATCTTTCCCTATGATTTATACATTTGGGTTCGGGGTTTATAGAGGTCATTAAGATTAGGTATTAAGTTCATGGGTCATGGGCCTGTGGTTTTCTGAATTTTCGTCGGTGTTGGGCAGTTGGTGTCCCTGAGAGAGGCCTGGCCAGGCTTTTGAGTCCAGTCGATTGTTGTCTTCAGGCCTGGTATGTCTGAGGGTGTTGTGTGTAGGAAAACACAGAAGCCTTATATGCAGGTTAGGTGTGAGCCCTGGCACTGTGGCTGTCGTTGGCGTTCCACACTAGAATGTTTAGGCTGGCTTCTGGGGCCAGATGAGCATAGACTCCTCCTCCCCGCAGGTGCTGTGGTGAGGGCATCCCACAAGGTAAAACTCAAATGGGCTTTTGGGGTTGGCTAGCGCAGACCCCTGGCACTATGGTTGGTTGTGTTCCATGTATGGATGTCCTGGCTTGCTATTGGAGTTGTCTGGTTTGGGTGAAATCCTCAATGCTGTATGCAGCAGCTTCTCACACAAGGGGTCCACACAAAGGCTTTTGGGTCCAGCTGATTTCAGATCCTTCCACCCCAACATTGTTGGAGGTTGGCATTGTCCTGCTCAGGGGTATAAGGTCATATTGGATGGGTGCTGCTGCCTAATGCTATAGGGGGCTGGCTATGTCTGACTCTCCATGGATGCAGTGATATGCAAGGCTGTGCATAGACCCCTCCAGCTAGATGCTGGCAGCATTGTGTGGAGATGCACATGTGTGCTTTTAGAGGCTCACCGCTGTGTCCACTGTCTGGCATTAGAGATCTCAGTGAGGCTTTTCCCAGGGTCAGAGACCACATTGTGTCCTCACAAGCATTAGAGACCTGCTATGGCTGTCCAAAACCTTTCCTGGTATTAGGATACCTACCATGACCAATATCGGGGTTCAGAGAGCCTCCACCTTTCACTCAGTCCCGATGGCTGAGTTTGGGGGCAGAACTGTGTGATTGGTGTCTTCTGGCCTGATCTCTGGTTCCAGGCACAGTTTTCTTAATGTGAAGATGCCTCACCTTTTGTTCTGTTCTTTAGGTTCATTGTGGGAAAGGAAGAAATTCCCACACATTCTTACTCACCAGAGACAGCATATGCTAAAGTGGAACAAAAGAGAGAAAAACTTGAGGAAAAACCAAGAAGAATGAACATAATTGGTCTACTTAGGAAACTTTTGAATTCAATGTGAGTTCAGTAGCTTGAGATTTTAGCACTTTGTCACTATCTTGTATATTTGGTTATTTTTGTTTGTCTCCAAGTTGTTATCATTTTCTTTCTTTTCACCAAAATCTGTGTAGTAGAGTTTTATTAGAGCTAGCGCACAATAATAATTTTTGTTTATTCTTCCTCACAGGTGGGTAGCCTCATATGCCAAATAGATTTTCAGGAAATTATAATATTTTTCTATTTCAAGGGAAGCAGAGTTGAAGGAGACCGTGATGAGGAACTTAATGAAACAGATTCATATGTGCTGATTGAACATGTTTACTTTCCTATGTTTTAAGTTCTGTACAGGTTGATAAGGTACAGACCTTAATGAAAGGATATTTTGTAATGGTGACAGTTTTTAGAGCTCTCTGACCAAAATAAAGGATACTTAGTTGTCTGTTACATAAAGAATGAAATATTTCATTCAGCCATTTATGTTCTTAATGTAGACATTTAATGGAATAAATTTAGTGGCTTAAAATTAGAAGAGCTAATAAAACCAATCATGGTAATGACATTTGAGAGAGGGCAGAATGAGTAGGCAGTATTAAAATTGAAGGGATACACTGTAGGAAGTGCAGTATTTTACCAAATATGAGACCCCCATCTTTCACTTTGAATATGAAATTTAATCACTGTATCTCCAAGTTCTTATCTGTTTCCTGGGATGAATATTCTTCCTTAGTGACTATTGTGAGTATTAGGCAAATACCACATGAAATTGACGGATAAAATGTATGAGCACAGAAGACTCAAATTTCACTGAACTGAAGGGTTTTCTTCTGTTTTAGCACATTGTCAACAGAAGATAGGAATAGAGAAAAGAAATCTCAGATGACAGGAATAGTAGTGAACATAATGAGCAAGTTAAAAAATAGTTCTGGGTTACATTAGTGGAGGAAAGGGAGCACAGATAACTTTTAATGGAAATGCTTGCAACAATAGTTACAAAGAAATACAAAAACTGAATTACATAGTGAATGAGGCCTTGGATGTCAGAACTCATGAGGCCACAGCAGAACTTGTTTGAATAGCTTCAGTGGGCTGGTCCACTCAGTGAAACTGATAGAGAATCATCCAGAAGCAAAGCAAGTGATTCAAGTGATTAGTAGTTTAGGACGTAAGAAGCCATTCTAATAAGTGATAAGGGAACATATACTGACAGAATAGTTGATAGCAGAATTGAACTTCAGTAGGGCGTTCAATAATTCCTCTGTAATTGTGGCACCAAAGGCAGAAATGTCTTTGAAGAGGACACTTAGAAGTGTAAAGAGTGATGGCTTGCATGAGGCAGGCCTTCGCTGGTTTATGTCTTTTAAAGCATCCGCTTTAATCAGCTCAACAACTTCACATGACAAGGTCTGTCATAGCATTCCAGTGACAGCAGGGCTTAGGTTGGTATGCACCATTTCTGTCTGTCACCTCTGCCTAGGAAAGGCTGCCGGTGTGACACAACTGCAGTGCAGAAGTGCATTTCTAAAACATCATGCTAATCGGTTAGCTAATAAGCTTGGTGTAGTGCAGAACTGGAACATGGCTGTACAGGTTACTGCTACAAACAAGAAAGAATCTGTGTTCCAGCTATGAAAATAACTAGTTGACTACCCTGAAAGAAGTTAAATGAACCTTTCCAAGTTAAAGCGGCAGAGCAAGACCTATGTTAGAGAATGTATTTCCATTTTTTATGAATAAAGGTAAATAAGTAATCCTTGAGGCAATGCACGAAATGATTAAATGAACATGTCATGAACAGTAGTTCTCACACCAGTAATGTTTATATTGAACACTACAGGGTTAAGTGATTTACAAGTAAATTACAAATAACCTGCTTTTGAATCCCACATGATTTCTATTTCTATATTTATTTTAAAAGCTTCATTTTTGAATTCTAATAATATATCGCGTTTCTTTTCCAGATGTTTTCTCTCAAATGTAATTAAGTATAAATTCTTGTAACCTGAGTACAGTTTCATTATGGTATTTGTTCAAGTTCTGGCTTCATGGATGATTTATGACCGTCATACTTTGTATTAAGTGATTTAAAGTTCACAAAGATTTGGAGATATGTATAGATACATGTACATATTTTTCACATTTAGTCACCAATATTTAAGTGTGTTTTTCTATACCACGTTAGAATATTTTGATTGTAGTCATACATAGTAAGAAATGAAGAAGCAACACAAAAAATGCCTGTTGGCATTGCTTCTGTAGATTCTAAGGAACAAGTTGCACAAAAGTAGTTACATTTTCTCCACTATTTGTTAGAAAGTTTGAAATGGATCTAGAGGAATCCACACATGTGTATATGCATACAGTCCCACAGGTACATACGTATTTTAATTATATTTAGTTTAGTTTTTCTTCTTTAATTTCAGATGCAAGCACGGACCAAGGCATAGATGTTGTAAACACTATGAGGATAATTGCATTTCTTACTGCATTAAAGTAAGTATATAAAACTACCTTCTCCACAGTGGGGAATATATTAAACAAAACTTGTTTATTAAGAGATAATGTCTAAGTAAATGGAAAAGTTGACAGTAATAGCTGTAATTCTTTGCATGCCTTGAAAAGAAAGTTTTGAGATTTGGCTTTTAATATTCATTTGTCAGATCCTTAAACAATCAAAAATCTTCCTTCCTTCCTTCCTTCCTTCCTTCCTTCCTTCCTTCCTTCCTTCCTTCCTTCCTTCCTTCCTTCCTTCCTTCCTTCCTTCCTTCCTTCCTTCCTTCCTCCCTTGCTTCCTCCCTCCCTCGCTTCCTCCCTCCCTCCCTCCCTCCCTCCCTCCCTCCCTCCCTCCCTTCCTTCCTTCCTTCCTTCCTTCCTTCCTGGCTCAAACTCAGGACCTTGTGCCCCCACTCAGCTTTTCTGTTCACAATTGGTGCTTGCTTTACCACTGCAGCCATCATCAGTTCTGGCTTTTTTTTCTGGTTAATTGGAAATAAGAGTCTCTTGTATTTGTCTGCCCAGACTGGCTTTGAACCTTGATTTGCAGATCTCAGAATTCTGAGTAGTTAGGATTATAGGTGTTAGCCAACCAGCACCTGGCAAAAAATTAGCTTGAGTCGGGGGAAGAGAGGCTTTTGTGTTAATCCCCAACAGTGGTTATTTTTGTTGTGGTGGTTAGTTTTTTGTTTGTAATCCTAGGTCCTCAGGACTTGGGAATATTGTGATTTGAGGTTCACAAGAGCCCATCTCAATGAATAAGTAGATATGTGTGTCTAGCATCCCAGCTACACAGGATTTTGATCTAGAGCAGCTTAGGCAAAAACCATGCCCCTGCCTAGCAAGTGCAGAGTCCTGAGTTCAAACCCCAGAACTACTAAAAATTTCTTAGCTTATATTAGATTTATGAGGTAGGAGTTGTAACAAAAGAGAAAAGGCCATTGAAATTTGTCTTTGTAATATAGCTTCATTGGAAGAACATCCCAGAATAGGCCCTTAGACTGTGTGATGTGCTAGTTGGACCAGTGTGTTATGTATACATACTGAAATACTATGTGCAATCTTACAGAGATATTTGTTTTTTGCATATTTTAAAGGTATTAAACTAACTGGGACATGTTTGCAATTAGTTATAGCCACTAGCATAAATTCTCAGTTTCATAATATGCCTGTGTAATACACACACACACACACACACACACACACACACACACACACACACACACACACACACACACACACACACACACACACACAGCCTGTCCTGCTTTTTTCTCCTATCACCACCAGCTCTAAGAAGAAAGTGTTTTCACTGTAGTTATTCTGATTGACAAAGGTAATACCTATGGCTACCAGTCTCTTAGCTTTGAATGGTGTTTTAAAAGCTTGGATGTTCTTAGTGGTTAATATTCTTTCTTGCAAGAACTAAACCCTGCTCAGCTAGGGAGTTGAGTTGTACAATACTCCAAAAGACAGTTCCCTTGTGGCTATGTAGAAAGGAGGACTGTCCCACATCAGGGCTTATTATTAATGTGAATCCTTGTGGCCTGGTGTTAACAGTGGCAACTGTCCAAACCCACGCTTGTATTCATGGTCCTCAAAGATATGAACAGCAGTATCTTTTCAAGTTGTGCAGCAGTTCCTGATAATACTCTTTCCAAATTTAATTTTCTGCCTTACTTAAAGTGACAGAGGAAAAAAAAAGCCAGTATTGCTTGCAGTGTGAAGAATGATTGTTCTTTCCAGCTAACCATGTTCAGATGGAGAATTTAGGCGAGGACAAGGAATATTCTGAGATATCAGAGGTATTGGAGAAATTTGAGTGGATGAAAGAGATAGGAAGCAATTCTCTTTTTTTGAAAGAATAGGTGGGAATTATAAAACACCCCAAAACTTTCATAAGTCTGAAATGTGTGCCACTTTTATAAACTTGATAATTCCTGTATAAATAGGAGTATTATATCTGGAGTGTAAAACCTTTGGAGACTTAGGGATGAGGAATTCATGTCATGAAATAGTGAACATTTTCTTTATAGTACACTAGATTTTTTCCACAGACTAAGTTATACCGCAAAGCAAGTAATATCCTCGAGTAAATGTTCATGTTAATTACATTCTCTTCAGGTCCCCATCAGTTAACTGTTTCTTAGCTCCTTATACCAGCTAACTGCTTTCTTGGCTTTGTGCTGTCTGTCCAAACTGTCTGAAATGTTCTAACTTTTTCTCTTCTGGGTCTATTTAAATGCCACATCCTCAATAGCCTTTCTTTACCACCGAGTCTATGCAGATTAACCTGGTGCCCTCATTATTTCCTTCAGAACATTTATTGTAATCTGTGCTTATGTTATGTTGGTTCATTTGTTTATACAATGACCACATGTAGGTAATGAAGGCAAGAGTTTTTTGTCTCCTTCACCACTGTACCCTCAGCATCTAGTGTAACGCTCAGTCCATAAATAGGAACTCAGCACACGTTTTTTGAGTACACAAAAGGGTGAATGAGTGGATTTCCAATTTTTTTTGTCTTTGGGAAATAATGTGGGAAGGTTGTAATATGATTGTGAGTACTAAATCCTTAGATTAATATTGTCAAGTTATCAAACATAAAAGCATGACCATTTTGTGCATATGAATACTAGCAATCTTAGCTAAATGTGTGGTAATTCATAGGAATTGGTTGGCCACTGTAATTTCCATGTTACTATAGTCAGGTATTTGGTAATTTCAGGTAAATTAACTAGTACTTTCTTTCTAGAAAAGGAAGTTGCAAGCTGGAAAATAAATACAAGCCTGACCTGTGGAGCTTAGCAAGCAAGCAAGCCCAGCAGTCAGGTGTTTTCCTGTCCCAGTGTCAAGAAGAGAGGAGAAGGGTGTTTTTTCAAGCTTAGTATGGTGGGCTTTGAAGTGGCACGTCTATGTGCTTTAACCTGATGCAGTTGAGTACTGGAAAAAAAGACATATATTTATTTCTGGGAAATTGAATCTGACTATATAAAAATTTGATACTAAAGAGCTAAACAAATTATGAAATCACTCCTCTAGCAAAACAGTTCTGACTTACACTAAAGATTAAGGTCAGTTTTATATTAACATTACCAGGAGCATTTGTTTTTGTGAACTGTTTGTTTTGAATTCTAATGATTTTGTTTCTAAAGCTCATTTGTGGTTTAGCAATTAAAAATCCTTGCCATTGTAAATAAAATATCAAGAAACAGAATTTTGGCATATAGGCCAGCTTGGGCAGTGCTTTAAGTGTTTATAAATCAAAGAAAATGTAACCACCAGTAGTTCACCCTTATTTTTAAGGTAATTGTTTAAAAATTATTGTTTGAGTTTTCAAGAATCCATTTGCAAAATTGTTGTGATATAACCTTTATTAAATATTGTAAAATTTTACTTGGATTTGGAAATGATAAAGTAATTGATAAAATGATAATATTGTATGATACTTCACAATTTGGTTGTCAGAATGTTCTCACTCTCCCTAGGGTTTCATCCGAATGTTCAGTGTGGGGTACCTGATCCAGTGCTGTCTGCGAGTCCCCTCTGCCTTTAGGCATGTGTTTACACAGCCGTCTCGGCTGCTTTCCCTCTTCTATAACAAGGAAAACTTCCAGCTTGGAGCTTTTCTTGGCTGTTTCGTTAGTATATATAAGGTAAGCTTTTCTAAGAGGTCAGATACATGTATCATAAATTACATGGCTGCTGTAAGAGTGAGACATGGCCCTAACTCACCCATCATTTTATTTAATGCTTTTTTTTAATGGAAGATTCATAAATATTTTGACAGCACCAGTGTCTACAGTAGATATCAGGAATTCGGGTTAGAGGCATTTTTTTTCTTTTATAATGTTATTTAATGTACCTGAGTATGCAGTTTTACTATATTACATATAATAATAAGATACCGAAGACTCTTTTTTTCTGGAAAAAAATAGAAACTTTAGGGCATTTCCAGTATAAAATAATACAGGAGGCTGTCCCCAACTACAAATCTAAACCTGTTTCCGGCCTATGTAGCTGATACTTGATTTAATCACGAAGTATTTCTTTTTGCAGCCTCGGTATACAATCACCTATTTTCAATTTTTTTCATTCTTATTTCATTCTTTTGTTCGCTTTTTTTTTTTTTTTTGTCAGTCATGGGGTTTGAACTCTGGGCCAGGGTGTTGTCCCTGAACTCTTCAGCTCACAGTGAGCGCTCTACCACTTGAGCCATAGAGCCACTTCCAGTTTTCTAGTGGTTTCTTGGAGATAAGAGTCTCACGGACTTTCCTGCCTGGGCTGGCTTTGAACCGCGATCCTCAGATCTCAGCCTCCTGAGTAGCTAGGATTACAGGTGTGAGCCACTGGTGCCCGGCTTCACTCTTTCTACTGTCTCAGTTAACCAGAATTACCCTTCTGCTACTTGTGTCCCTATAAATTTGCCAATATATGCGTAAGCCACACTTGAACACATGTAGAGATTACTCTTGACATGGTACTTTGCAGCTTTAAATTTAAGCCTTTTGTTTCATGGGACTTGCTACTATATTAATCACCTTTCTGTGTTGTTTTATTAAAGGTCTGAAATTTAGAGTCTTAATCTGAATGTGTTCACTAAAGTTGACCTATAAACATGTTTGTATTAATTACTATCACTTCATTTTCAAAGTTGGTTTCTTTTAAGTATGTGTTGTCTTCTTTTTCAAAAAAATTCAGTCCGTATCTTTTAAAAAAATTGGTGTGTTGACAATAGTATTAGGAGACTTTAATACTCCACTCTTACCAAAGGACAGGTCTACCAACCAGAGGATTGGAAAAGAAGCTTCTGAATTAAATGATGCCATATCTCAAATGGACTTAATTGACATTTACAGAGTTTTCCACCCAACAACAACCCAGTACATATTCTTTTCAACAGCCCATGGAACTTTCTTCAAAATAGATCATATCATAGTTTATACAAGGAATTTAAACAAAATACAAGAGGATTGACACAATCCTTTGTGTTCTATCCAAGCATAGTGGAGTCAAGCTAGTTCTCAATAACAAAGTGTACATTAGAAATTACTCAAATACATGGAAATTGAACAGCACAGCACACTTAGGAGCAACACCTGGATCACAGAAGAAATTAAAGAAGAAATCAAAACGTTCCTACAATTCAACGAAAGTGAATAAACATAAAAAAACCTGTGGGACATGGCAAAAGCAGCCCTGAGGGGCAAATGTATTGCTCTCAGTGCACACATCAAGAAAATAGAGACAGACCAAGTAAATAATCTCATGATTCAACTAAAACTGCTAGAAAAGTAAGAAAAAATTGAACCTAAAGTTACTAGATAGAATGAGATAACCAAAATAAGAGCTGAAATTAATGAGATAGAGACTAAGAAAACTAAATAAAACAAAATGCTGTCCTTTTGAAAAGATCAATAAAATTGACAGACCTCTGGCAAGATTAACTAAAAAAAAAAAGAGAGGAGAACTAAATCAATAAGATCAGGGGTGCCACAGGAAAAATTAAAATAAACATCCAAGGCAGCCAAACAATTATAAAGAACTTTTTCCAGAATCTATACTCAGGAAGGAAAACCTAGCAGAAATGGATGGATGGATTTTTAGAGAAATACAAATTGCACAAACTGAACCAAGAAGAAATAATTAAATAAGCCAATTACTTACAATGAGATAGAGGAAGCAATCGGGAATGTTCCAACAAGGAAAAGCCCAGGACCAGATGGATTCACTATAGAATTCTGTAAGACCTTTAAAAAGAAACTAGTATCCATACTTCTTAAGCTCTCCCGAGAAAAAGAACCAGAAGTAGCAATCCCAAACTCATTCTATGAAGCCAATATCACATTGATCACCAAACCAGGCAAGGATCCAATAAAAAAAGAGAACTACAGACTATTATCCTTGATGAACACAGATGCAAAGCTCCTCAATAAAATTTTAGCCAACAGAATCCAGAAACATATTTTAAAAAAACCCATACATTATGATCAAGTAGGCTTCATCCCAGAGATGCAGGACTGGTTTAACATATATAAATCAATTAATGTAATCCATCATATCAACAGATCCAAGGTCAAGAACCACAAGATTATCTCCATTGATGCAGAAAAGGCTTTTAATAAAATACAATACCCATTCATATTAAAAGCTCTGGAGAAAAGAGGAATAGAAGGAACATTCCTTAAAACAATAAAAGCCATACACAACCGACCAATAGCCAATATTATACTAAATGAGGAAAAAGTACAACCAATTCTTGAAAATCAAGAACAAGGCAACGATGCCCACTCTCTCCACTCCTCTTCAATTTAGTTCTGGAATGCTTAGCCAGAGCAATAAGGCAAGAAAAGGACATTAAAGAGATCCACATAGGGAAGGGTTCTCAGAAAGCTAAATATAGACCTCCCCTATGACTCAGCCATACCACTCCTAGGCATCTATCCTGAGCAACAGGAACCAGGATACAAGGACACATAGACCTCCATGTTCATTGCATCACTGTTCACAATAGACAAGAAACAATCCAGATGCCCCACTACAGATGAATGGATCCAAAAATTGTAGTACCTATATGCAATGGAATATTTTGCAGTCATGAAAAAGGACAAAATAATGGCGTTTGCAGGGAAATGGATAGAACTAGAAAAAAATCATTTTTAGCAAGGTATGCCAAGAGCAAAGAGACAAATGACTCCATTTTCTTGACCGTGCGCGCGCGTGCGTGTGTGTGTGTGTGTGCGCGCACACACATCTGAAGGAAGCTAAGAAGAGGACACAGAATCAGAGGGAGACAGGAAAATATACAACAGAGGGGCCCCCATCAGCTGCACTGGACATTGATGAAAATGAACTAAGCAACTTGGGCAGCTATGGGAGGGAGGGAATGAGAGGGAAAAAGGGAACAGCTTATACTATGCAAAAGGAAAGAAATTGCATATCATCTGATGTGGAAGAAATATAATAGTATTGTCAAAGCTCATAGAATTCACTTAGATCAGGATAACAATTTACCTTGTGAAGGTTAAAATGTGTTTGTGACTTTAAGTATCACTATCCTACAAATACTGTGAAACTTATGAAATTTATGTTATCACTTAATTTCAATAAATTATTTTTAAAAATTGGTATGTTGAGACTATTTACACTTGGTATACTTGTGATATGGCTGAGCTTATATCTCTTTGCTTTACATCTGTAGTTGTTTTATATTTGTTCCATTTTTTCCTTATTTCCCTTTTCCATCTAACTACTTCTGGACTGATTGAATTTTTGATTAGCTTATTGTACAAGTGGTTTCATTGTGATATTTTCATATATGAATAGCATGTCCCTTGATCAAATTCATACCTTCTATTATTTCCTTTATCCCTTTTAATCCATCTTAAAATCATTTTAGCAGATTTTATTATTCTATTTTTATCATATATCTTTCTATTTCTGTCTATCTCTCTCTGTCTCTGGCGGTATTGATTGGGGTTTGAACTCAGGGCCTCTGATTTGGTAGGCTGTTGTTATGTACTTGAGCTGGGCCTCTAGCCTGACTCAATGTATTCTTTGCCCCTCTAATAATGATTGTGAATGTTTTATGGCTCCATTTTATTTTACTATTAATACTTTTACTATTATTAATATTTTGAATATATGTTTTTAATTATCTCTAGGAAGTTGTACAATGGAACTGCCATTTAACAAAATAGTTTATAAATATAATATCTTGATCAATATAACCCCTTTTAACATTTTCACCCATCTCTCCCCTAAGCACTTTTTCCTTTATGCTTATTAATTTTGTAGGATATACATTGTATTCTTATCTGAATTTTCTCCCTCTTTTCTTCTTCATTCGTCCATCTCCCCCTTGACATCCACTTCCTGGTGTTTTATTTTGCTGAATTTTTATTTTGGCATTCTAAGCAATTATACTATTTGAGGTCTCCCTTGAATCTACTGTATTTCAGATAATTTGTATACTTGCATACCACCCAAACTTAGGAGTTTTTAAGCTAAATCTAACTTCCACATATAAAAGAAAACATGGATCCTTTGTCTTTCTCAGCTTAACTTACTTCATTTAACATAAAGTTTTTCAAGTCTTTCCATTCCTTTACAAATGCCACAATACCTTTATTTCTAATGGATGAGTAAAATTCCATTGTGTAAATATAGCACATTTTCTTGATCCATTTGTCCATTGAGGGGCATCTGGGCTGGTTCCATTTTTAACTTACTATTATGATTTATTATAACACAAGTAGACTTAAGCAACTTCCTAACATAGTATAAGAACCTTATAATGCTATTTTTAGGTTCTCCAATCTTTTGTGCAATACCTTTATCATTTAGTCTGACTTTTGCAATTATGTATTCAGTCTGATTTTTAGAAGATCTCCAAGGTCAGCTAGTGAATCATTCATCAGAGGAGTTTTTGATCTTGTGCATTTTTTCTAGAAATAACGTAACAAAGGTCCTTTTATTTTCTTCTTATTACAGGGTACTAGTTGCTTCTTGCGCTGGATCAGAAACCTGGATGATGAACTGCATGCTATTGTAGCAGGTAAACCTATAAAGAAGAGTGATTATTATTGTATCAGTTGGTAGTAAGCATGAATCAGAAATAGCTTCCAAACTTAGCTGATTTGCATGTCTCTAGTCTCTCTAGGTTTCCCTTTCTCTCTGTACTAGAATCCCTATGGAGACACTCATGAGTTTCTTGGGGGCATCTTGATGTTTGGTGTTTTCAGTTAGCAATGCAATGACTTGTTTCTGCCCTGCTCTTTTAGAGAATGTGTTACAAAACAACATAAAAACTTAAAATATTTTGTAACAACATGAAGGCTTAAAAAACTTTTTGCTTGCAGTTCTTTCAAGCTTTTTATATTTTTTAATCAACTAATAAATAAATTTTTAATTAAATAATTTTTGAAAGGAACTTAATCATTGTATAAAAAATAAAGGGCTGGGCATGGTGAACTCATGCCTATAATACCAGCTACATGGGAAGTAGAGAATGGGAAGATTGAAACTCAAGGCCATCCTGAGCAAAAATTTACTAAGAACAACCCCCCTTCCCCCATCTCAACAAATACACCAGAAAGCAGGGGGGTGGGGGGGCGGCGTCAGTGTGAACAGTTGTAGTCTCCAGCTTTGTGTAAGGTATAGACAAGAGGAATAAGGCCTAATACTGGTCTGAGTCAGAAGTGTGAGAGATCCTATCTGAAAAATAACTAAAAAAGGACTGGGAGTATGATTCAAGTGGTAATGCACTTGCCTAGAGAGTATGAGGTGTTGAATTCAGACCCCATACCTACAAAAAAATGAAAATAGGCTATTTGTCAGGTATTTATTAATAATAATCCTGTTAATATTCCAGCCCCCACCCCCTAGTTTTTCTATTTGTCGGAGGAAGGCAGTACCATGGAGAAAAGTGTCTTGAAAGTACTCACAGAGACTAGATGAATGAGCATTCCCTATCGAAATTGCTACTGATATCCTTTAAAAACATTAAAAACAATATTTTACAAGTGTTACTACTGTTTCAAAATTGAACTCTTTCTTGCTACATATACCTTATAACAGTATGTTCCTAACTATAAGGTTCAGTTTTTTAAACTTAAAAACCTGTAATAAGACTCATTTTGTATAGTATCAGCAGGTGTGTCAGTGTCCTTGATTGTGATATAACACAAATGACACTTTCAGTGAAGTGTCATTTCTGATGACTTACTAGTAAAGAAATACTTTTCAATCTGATCAGTTTTTCTTTATTTGTTGTTTCAGGATTTTTGGCAGGTATATCAATGATGTTTTATAAAAGCACAACAATTTCCATGTATTTAGCTTCCAAATTGGTGGAGGTAAGCAGAAAATGAACATTATATATGAGCAACTGCAAAGGGCATAAAGCTAACTGCTTTAGCAGTAAGTAGATAGCCCTATTACAAAGCAACTTCTAGTTCTTTTAAAAGTGTCTATCAAGTCAATTCCTCTATTTGGGAAGTATATATGTACAAATACATATGAGTAAAGACAGAATGGTGTAAGTAACTCCCATGTACTCATCATACATTTTTTATCAGTTATCAGCATCTGCTTGATCTCCTTTAATGTGTATGCCCCCACTTCCCAGACATTGTATTATTTCATTCATAAAAAACTGAGGGTAAAGATTTGTTAAAAACAAATCAGCAACTCCATTAAAGTATAAACACGGTACTACTATTATACATTTTGTTGACTCAGTAATTTGAGCTGGGAACCCAGTGGCCCGCCTGTTATCATTGCAACTAGGAGACTGGAATTTAGAGGATTGGTAGATTGAATTCACCTCAGGCATTAAAGTTTATAAACTCCCATTTCCAGTTAACTAACAAAATTCCAGCTTGGAGGTGTGGATGAAATGGAGAAGGCCAGCACTTTATATTATTCTATAAGTTTTCATCTATTAGTAAAATGTGTTTGTACAACCTGTTCATCTTATAAGTGTTTGTGTAATCTTTGTATCATTCAAAGTCATAATCTATAATAATCTATAAGCTCTTTTTCCCTTCTCCATCACCTTTCCTTTCTTTTTTTCTTTACTATTTATTTTCTAAACACCTATACCAATACTCCCACAGAATTTGCTACATTTTTGATTTGCTGAATGCATCCTTACTGGTGGTATTTATGGTAGTTGTTTAGCTTCTCTTTTTCCTGCAAACAGTTATCTGGAAGCTTAAGCAAATTCAATCTTGATTTTTGAATATGGATAGGTGGTAGAACTATTTCATATTTCCTTTATGTGTGAGTATTTTTTTGAATCACATTAGGTGCCACAAAAATGTCTGGTTATGTCTCTTTTATGTGCTAAGATTGGTCAATGGGCTTAGATGTTGGTAGAATGAGCATCAGGTCCTGCAATACCTTTTCTTTATAGTTATAGGCATTATAACCACTTCACTCAGAGTTACAGAATGGTGATAATCTACTGTTGTTTCTTCTGTATTGATTAGGTGCAGTGTTTCTGAAGAAAGCTTTCCCTTTCAACAAATACACTGAGAGTAAACACTGAGGAATTTTCATAGCAATTTGACAGAGCACTACTTTGCCTTTTGAAACTCATAATGAGAATGTGGTTCAATTCTGTATTTTTTAAAAACCAGAATTCATTTAATTGCATTAAAAATGTATTAATCTGGGCTGGGAAGGTGGCTCAGTGGTAGAGTGCTTGCCTTGCATGCATGAGGCCCTCCCTGGGTTCTATTCCTCAGTACCACATAAGCATAAAAAGCTGGAAGTGGTGCTTGTGGCTCAAGTGGTAGAGCACTAGCCTTGAGCTGAAGAGCTGAGGGACAGCACCCAGGCCCAGAGTTCAGGCCCCACAACTGGAAAAAATAAAGTATTAATCCATGAATGTTAAGTTAAAAACAAAAAGTGGTTCTTTACCGCAGATGAATTACAAAACATTACTCAAATGTAATCTTCTCTGCATTTGTCCTTGGTCCTTTGTCCCCCTCAAAAGTGTACATATACATACACATGATACATATGTGTATATATTTGTATATGTATATATCACATGTATGTGTGTTTATATATACACTATATATATACTTATACATGTATATACACATGTATCTTATGGCCTTCATCAGTGCTATTCGTTATGCCTCGTGTTTTATTTTTAAATCTTTTGCTCCTAATATCATATTCTACATATAATGACACCATTAGCATTTTCTGAATAAATGAATGGATAAGCAAGTCTAACAAGGAAGGGTGGACCTGAGCATTTTTAAAAACATTAACAATAGCAGTAGAAATGAAGGGCTTGATTTCCACAGGAAATTATTGCTGAAGCTGGAGTTTTGAATGAAGGGAAAGGAAAGGTCGACACCATTTTCATGAAAAGTATGACATAGTTAAGCTTTGAAGGAAGAATTAGGATTCACAAAGGTAGACTATATACGACTTGTAGAACATTCAACTTCTGTATATTATTCATGCATTTTAAAGTTTTTATGCAACTTTCCCATTATGCTTATTTTGCAGACAATATATTTCAAAGGCATTGAAGCAGGGAAGGTTCCCTATTTCCCTCATGCTGATACTATTATCTATGCCATCTCAACAGCAATTTGTTTCCATGCAGTAAGTACAGCTGTTGAAATGATCATTTGAATTTCTGTGTCTAGTTTACATTAAGCCATTTGGGGAGAGGGAGATTTCTGAGAATATCTTTGTTTGATACATTTTATGTTTCTTTGGTTTGTTGGTTTGGTTTTTTTCCCCCCGCAAAGTAGTTTACATGTTTTAAATGATTAAACAAGTTAATTTAAAGGATTAGGCCCATTTTATGAACAACCTAATTTTTAGGTTTATTACAGTAAGTATATAGGTAAATTGTCATTTAGTACTGTAGGTAGAGTGCCCAGTTTAATTATTCTTAAGGTAAAAAATACCATGGGCATGAATATTCCCTAACTGTGCTTAGGAGATGAGGATGGTGGTAATCTGGCTTTTTTTCCTGTTGGTTGTGGCTCTTGAACTCTGGGCCTGGGCATTGTTCCTCAACAATTTAGCTCAAGGGGAGTGCTCTACCACTTGAGTCACTTGAGTCTACCACAGTGTCACTTCTGGTTTTCTGGTGATTAATTGGAAATAAGAGTCTTAAGGCCTACTTTTCTGCCCAGGCTGGCTTTGAACTGTGATCCTCTGATCTCAGCCTCCTAAGTGGCTAGGATTACAGGCGTGAGCCACCAGTGCCCAGTGGAAAACTGGCTTAACAGTAGCTTTGTTTAATCTCTTTTAACTCTGTAATCATCATTATTGATATTAATAGTTTAAAGGCTACTAAGGTTTTCCAAAGAGCTTTTATTTCTTCTTTCTCATAGAGATGTTGTCACCAAGTCAGAAATGACAACTGTCTCTTGATAATAATGATTGATCATGCAATTATTATTTCCAAAAAAGCATTTCTACTTAGAAGCATATTTACAAATATTCTCAGTATTGATAAACATAAATGCATGCTTTTGCTATTGTTATTACTAATGTTTTGAAATACAGTGAGCCACAAAGATAGAGAGAAAAGTCCCTATTGCCTCAGATTGCAGATAATGTTTGTATTTACTAAAAGAAATCTCAACTTGTATAATCTTAGGCTGTCATGGAAGTTCAGAACTTGCGACCATCTTACTGGAAGTTCCTCCTTAGGCTCACCAAGGGCAGGTAGGTGACAAGAGTTTTAAGGGCTTATAACAAAAGAGCAACTTCTAGAAAATCATTGTGAGTCTCTGTCTCCTTGAGAGAACATTTTTCCAGTGGTAGAGGTATTTATATGCAAGTCAAATATGACTAACTTAATAATCAAATAAATAGCTAATTGTTTTGACTATTCTTCCTTTATAGTATTTTTGTTCTCTTAAGTATTTTATGTGAATATCATGTTCATTTTCTAACTGCTAATTAGTTGCTGAATAAACATATAAGCCTATATCATTTTGAATCTTTGATTTCTTTTTTATGGTTAAAAAAAATTGATTTGGACTAGCAATGTAGTTTAGTGGAGAGTGATGTGTCAAATGTACAAAATCTTTGGTTAGACCCCCAGCACAAGGAGATAAATGTGTACACACACGTATTAAAGTGATTCATTGTAATGGCTAGTCTCTACATAATTACTTGATTTCAGTTTTGTAAAAATAGCTATTTTCTTCTGTCCAGTGCTTTAGATGTACTTTCCTCTGCATTTTCTGTTATATCCTTTCCTTTTTCTTTTGTTTCTTAACTGAATTCTTTGGGAAACGGTTTGACCTAATAAGAAAAACCTGGGCTTTGGAGTTAGACAGACCTAGCTGATTTCAACTCGTAGTACCGTCAATCATTTTACTTTGGGAATCTGATTTACTCTCATGAGTATAGTTTTCCTTTTCTCTATGCAGAATGTGATTTGTGTGTGATCTAGTGTGTTTTGTGTAGCTGTAAGAGAACACCTGACAGGAATAGGCTTATAGAAGAGATTTGCTTGGCTTCCAATTCTTGTAGCTGAAAGTTCCAACAGTGTGTGGCTGGTGTATTGGCCTAATGTGGGCCCTCTAAGTCAGCAAGGGAACTGGCTATATGCAGAAGAGGCAAAACTTTCCTTATAACATTCTGTTCCCATAGGAACTAATCCACTCCTGCAGAGCCAGACCACTCTTCAAGGTTAGCATGAAAATGAAGCCCCCAAGACTTACTCTCCATTTGGCTCCACCACTCGCCACTGCTACAGTGCAACTAAGTCTAATACATGGAGCACTGAGCTACAAATCACAGACAAATGGTGGTTTGTGGTAATGCTTGACACTTAGTAGGAACTCACTGAATCACAGTGCTAGCACTCTTATTACTCACAGTAATAGCAAATGCTTACATAGTGTGTAACAGGTTCCAAGTATGGTTTAAGAACTATACATACAGTTTTTTTATATTTAATTCCTAACATAGTTTCATGAGTTAGGTACTTTTTTAAACCAGTTTTCACGTGTGAAGAAACATTCAAGAGAGGTTAGATAGCAAGCCAGAGTCACACAGCTAGAAAGTAAAGCAGCTTGCAGTGTTAGTCAGATAATGTAACTTCAGAACTCTTCCTCATACCATGACACTGTGTGTTTTTGATGTTATTATCCTTTTTTTGTCACTTAGATATCTTTACATTAATGAATGTCTCAATTATATTGGAAGGGAGTTTTCTTTAGGAAAACAACAAAAAGTACCATTTGAGGTTCTTAGTATACTGATTCTGATCACTGATTCTAAACTTACTTTTATTACACCACCTCTGTTAGGAAGGATGTTCATGAGTAGGCAGGTCCATTCACACGAAAGGCCATCTTGTACTTCGGCTAAACATATCTTTAAATTTTTTTCCTCTCTTACATTAGAGGAATAGATAATAGGAAGGTGGGTTTCAATTCTATATGTATTAGAAATTTGAGAGCCAATATATTGTTTTCTTATTAGTCATTGCATTTTTAATAAGAGTATTTTTTGATTGTGAGGTATTATTATTTCAGTTATGGGAGAAATTATATTTAATGCTTCTGCTTCATTGGTAATGTCAATTCATTTATTCTTAGTTAACTCATTCAGTCTTTACTCTCCTATGCTTTCCATCAGAAAAATTTCTGTTTGAAGTGTTTGAAATGATGATTGAATTCTATGGGTCTGGAAATAATCTTTTTAAGTAAAATATTAGATGATGAGTCTTAGACCATGAATATCCTTCTTCTTATGAATCTGCCCTTTTCTGTTTTGCCATTTCATGAAAACTAGGGCAAGGAAAGTGAATCATTTTATTTTGTAAACTTTGTTAAATATTTCTTCATGTGTCCTCTGTCTTACAGATTTGCTCTCATGAACCGAAAAGCCCTTGATGTCTTTGGTACTGGTGCATCTAAAGAATTTCACGATTTCATCCCCAGATTGGACCCTCGATATACAGTTGTAACACCAGAGTTGCCCATAGAGTTTTCTTGAAGATGACTGTGACTTATTATTAATGTGGCTATGTGTTTCCTCACTTATCCTGAAGAGTTAATTATGTTGAACACAGCGAAGGAGCATGAGCTCGAACTTCAGTGTTATTTCAATGAGAGATACTTTTTTTCCCTTCTTATCAATCAGAAATACAGAAAGCTTTTTAGAAAGGTGTTGCTTAATAATTAAGCTTTCTCTGTAGCCAGAATCGAATTCTGGATCACTGTAGTGGTTGACGTTATGATATATTATTGATTAAATTATGTCTACAAACAATATTGAATAGTCTATGTAGAAATATAATAACAAGAGTAAAATTACTTTAAAAGCTGTATTTAGTTCATTCCAATATATTCTTGGTTAAAACTAAGAATATTTCTACCTTGTAGGATTTACAAAGGATCACGGGTACATGAATTTGGTCTGTGTTTTTGTTTTAATGTTTGAATTGGTAGTAACTTTTGAATCAGTAGCAGTGAAGTGTTAAAAGATTTGAAGGAACTCTCCATAGACAGTGCTGCTTGAGTAGAGAGGACGTGGACAAAGTGGCCATTCTTTATTTCAGGGATACTAAAATGGGTCTTGTGCCATTCGGTTCAATGTTGGAGTGATGTCTGCACTAGGTTTTCAATGGACAACACCGTTTCTCTCCATGACTAGTAGGGCTGTTTGGCAGCTCAAGGAATGGACGTATTAGTGGCAGGTTAGAAGCAAACAGAAATTGACACATATGATATAGTTGAAATCTTTTTTACAGTAGTATTAAACTTGAGTATTTAAAAACAAATATTTAAACACAAATCTTTTAAACCTCCTATAGGTATAGTGTATTTGTTTTCACTTACAAGGACTAAATTCTCCATAGTATAGTTTTTGTGTCATGGTTGGCTTCAAAGGGATCAAAATGGAAGGAAGGTTTTGGCAAGTTTGCCAGCTTGTACCATCTCAACTGTTTCTCTTTTTCTTCAGTGATGAATGTTTTACAGCTGAGCATAAGAATCTAGTGGTTATTTGCCGTTGGTCTCATCACATATTGGCCTTATGCTCTCACAGGGTGACATCTTTGTCATCCCTCCACTCTGGAATATATCCTCTGCTGATTAGGAAACTAGTTCAGGACAGCTGGTTGAAATATGATCACAAATTCTTCAGGGAAAAGTTGCACATTTCTAATTAATAAAAGGCTTAAGTGATATGATGTCTACAGTTAATGAAACATATAGGAACAATGATACTTTAAATATTGTTTTGTTGCTAAAAGGTTTGTAGGTCATTGCCAATCGTGTAATAGAACTTCATTGAACCCCTTATTCACTTTGAGCCTGCTTTGTATACTTCTGTTTGTAGGCAATCCTATTCTTGCTTGTTACCACAAATTGGAATCCAACAAAAAGACAAATTTCATCCAGTGCCATGGTAACAGAGCCACTTTTGTTTGTTCAAAATGTTGCATTGTGATTAATTTAACTTTTTAGACTGGACTTGTCTCCTTGGCAATACTCTTAAAAGGATCATTTTGGTTTCAGTCTTGGATGCTGATTAATAAATGTAATTTAAAGTTTTATTCACTGGGATCAAAATGATGATTAGTACTGTGTTTACTTTTAAAAATGAAGTATTAAAGCACCGAGAAAGCAAGGCTACCTACACCTCATTTTCTCTACTTAGAATTTGTGTTTTTAACAGTCTTCTTGTCTAACGATACACTTGAATCCATAGTTATATTTTCATTGACATTGGACAAACTGTGATATTGAAAGAAATTCTTTTGAAATATGCTGAAATTCTTTGGTAAACTTTTGCTGGTCAAAAAGGTGCAATTTTATGAGATATATTTTTCAACAAATTGAAGTCATGTTTTTATTTTACATAAAATATAAAACAAAATGACCATTACAAAGCAAAAAAAAAGCCAGATGTATAGTATAAATGGGCAAATTTTCAATGGTCAGTCAAGAGTTATATTTTCACTGACGTTGGACAACTGATATTGAAAGATATATTCATAGGCCCTCATAGGAATGACTATAAACTGTACTTATTCGATCAGATAGAAAGAGACTGCTTATTCCTGAAGACAATCAAAATGCATGGTTTTCTACCTCTAATTAATCAAGTATTGACTGACCTCTTCTTGGCATGTTAACTACAGTTAAATCCCACCAGACTTCCCCTTTCCAAAACATGTTTTTTGTTAGTTCATTTAAATTCTGAAGCAGTCATGTCTGTGGTGTTTCCATCAGAACTAATTATAATATGCCCCCTTAGCTTTCAAACAGGTTTATTAGAATGAAAAAGAGTAGATTTGGAGAAACGGTATTAGGCTCATCTCATCTCTATTTTCTGTGTTAATAAAGGTTGATGATGCAAGATAATAAACTATCCTTTTAAATCTTCCCATTTTTTAAATCAGAGTTTCTATGTCCATTGTGTTGCTTATCTTTGGTTCTGTTGTCTTTTTTTTTTTTTTTTTTTGGTTCTTGATCTATAAATGTAATTATCACTCATTGGATACTTAGTCTTATCTTCATTTGTTGTTTAGTCCGTTGTTACTTAATTTCCATTTATCTTTGTATTCCTTGCATTCTGAATTTATAATTCCTTTCTATCTAGAAAGAAAATGCCTTTTGTAATGGAACCCATGTGAGCACTTTTCATGTAGAATATCATTGTGCTCGAGTGTACACTCACTTTTGAAGACTGTGTCTAGACTATTCTTTAATTTAGTTGCTAATGCTCACCACAAAGGATTTCCTGCCTGTCCTTATTACTCTCACTAACTCTTTGCCAAGGTATAGGCAATGAAATGGATGTTCCTGACTCTCAAAGACCCTTATCTACTTGTCTTTGGCTAGTGTCTCCATAAGTGCTGGCTAAGTGGCCTGAGGAGAGTTGTCCCTGAAGCAGGGAATTCTCATTCCTATTGAAGCAGAGTCGCTATCAGCCTTGGCCAAGACTGTATGAATTTTGCTCATCATTAATTTTTGTTGGTTTACAAAGAAGTCATTGGTGCAGTCATGGAGTTGCTCTGTGCTTCCACATAGGTTGAGTATTGCTTTCTGAATTGTAAGGAATCTGATACACTTTATCCCCCCTAACATCTTGATCTGTCACTTTTTACTGCCTTAGCATTCATTTTCATTTTACAGAAAAGGAATGACCAAGGGAACAACAGGAAGAATAAATGAAGAGGGTGCTGGGGATTGAAAGTGGTCTCTACCTGGCCCTGCCCTTTGGTGTGTTTTGTCTGTCTGTCTGGTCTACCTGCCTGCCTTATCTGTCTCTCCCTCCTTTCTTCCCTCCCTCCTTGTCTTTTTTTTTTTTTCCGTTAATTTTGTCCAAGTGTACAGGCTTGGTACGTGCTAGGCAGTACTGTGCCAGTGAGCTGCGTCTCCAGTGTGGCCAGCCTTGGATCTTCATTCCTGACCAAGTGTCACCCTTTCACCTTTCTGTCCTCTTCTGCTACCATGTACTCTTTGGCTCAAGGGCTCTCATGCAATCTTTGATGCCCACTGGTCAGGTTAAGGGCCTTGGGGGATTATGACAGTGGATTGAGTGTTGACAAGGGCAGTGGCTATTAAGGCAGTTGTGCATCTCTTAGGGAAGATGGTCTAGAGGTATGGCAGGCTCCCACTTGCTCACTTTGTTTATCAGCAAAATGAGTCTCTGCTACTCTCAGTGCTAATTCTACAGCATTTGCACCTTTCATTTCCACAGAAGGGAATTCTCCAGCTACAGCAGCCAACGCAAACAATCTGGACCAGTGTATCCAATGGGCTAACTGTGGTCAGTGAGCACAGTAATTCGCCCTGTGCTGTAGACACAGAGCTCCTGGCTACTTTTTTAATACCTGTCCTGAGGCAGCATCTCCCATAAGGCCCAAGCTATTTGATAAGCTGTATATTCATTTTTACTTCTTTAAATTGTACTGTACATTTTAAGAGCAACTCCTCCCTCCTCCATCTCAGTGGTGTGTCAGCCTTTGTGTGGGGAGTGGTGGCAGGAGGGGGTGATCTCAGCAGCTGTCTATGGAAGGCCTGCTAACTTTATTGAGTGTGTGGGTCAGAGAGCTGTCCTTAGCTGTTCCTCCAAAAGTCTGGAAAGTATTATCCTTACAAATGATTTTGTAAATACCCCAGGAAATTGGCTCCTACTGTCGCCCCAGTACTTACTGAAGCCAGTTTGGCTTTAGGTCTTTAGACAAATGATTTGTCATCTGTTTCAGTTTTTTTTTTTTTTTTTTTCTTGACAGAACTGGGATTTTTGGTCATATCCCACTTCAAACCTGCCAAGTCCAAAACCAGATACACAGGGCAGGACACACGCTTCCCTTCTCAGTCAGTTCCACAGAGAAAACTCACAGGCAGTTTGCCCAGAAGTATTTTGTGCCTGGTCTTTGAATACTATGTTTGATTTAATTTTTTTCCTATGGGAAAAATCTAGAGAGAAGTAAATGTCTATCATGATCACGTGGGTCCAAGAAAATCTCAGCTTTAGGGGAAAGAGAAGGAAAATAACTATAGGAGATGAGCTGATACCTGATAGATTGTTTATATCACATTCACTGAATGTACTGCAATGGAGGCATTGTTAGTTCTGTTTACCGCTCAAGGATTTGGGAATCAATTTGGTAATTTCTCCAAGGTAACAACTCTAGAATTCACTCCGATCTTGAGTTAAAAGTTTAAATTGAACTAGCATCTTTGTCTTCTCTTAAAATGAATCAGATAGTATTGAAATAAAATCCTTGCCTCTAAAAGTGTTTTTGGTATTTATTTCTAGTCTAGCTAGAAAAACAAATGAGTTTTACTTTGTCACCGGAAACAACTTAAAAACCTGTAAACACACATGCACACACGCATGTACTCACGTGCTAGAGCGCGCATGCACGTGCGCGCGCACACACACACACACACACACACACACACACACACACACACACACACATACAGACCAAAATGGTAAAAGTGCATAGAGTACAACTAAAGAGAGAGCTGAACTGATAAAATGACTGGAAATCTAAAGAGTAAGCTGAGTACTCTGTGTGCATGAGCACCTTTCCAGAGCTGGATATCGAGCAATTTCTGAGTTCATATGAAGCAGTGAATAGTTTGTCTGCTAGCCAGAATAGAGTAGAAAGCCAGTAATCCAAAGGGCACTGTACAGAATAGTCAGAAAAGTATTGCTGCAGTGTGACAATACTTTATCAGCCCTACACTACAGGCTATCCTAACCTCACTTCAAAAAATCTGTTTTTAAATAACTGCCTCAGAAAGCTACAAGAATATAGAAGTAAAAGAATTCAATATACAACAAAGTTAAATTCAATATGTTTAGCATCTCGTGAAGAATGACTAGGCATTCCAAAAATGAGAATATTCAAGTCTCGAAAATATACCCAGCATTGACACAATTTGTAGAATTAATGCAAAATAGCATTGCATCTTTGTGTGATACAGTTAGGAAGGTACAGGTTGGAGCTGGGTGCTTATGGCTCACAACTTTAATCTTAGCTATTCTGGAGACTGAGATATGGAGCCTTACAGTTCAAAGTCAGGCTGGACTGAAAAGTCCACTAGAGTCCATCTCCAGAATAAGCCAGAATCAGGGCTAGAGGTGTGCCTCAAGTTGAAGACTGCTTGCCAGCTGAGAGCAAGCAAGCTGAGCAAATGTAAAGCCTCGAGTTAAAACCCCAGTAACACCAAAATAATGCAAGGGTATAGGTTGGAAAGGTGAAACCAGTATGAGCATAGTAGATACCAAAGATTATTTTTCAATGTAATTCTAAATTAAAAATACAAAGCTGGGTGCTGCTGGCTCATAGCTGTAATCCTAGCAGCTAAGGAGGCTGAGATTTGAGGATTGTGGTTTGAAGCCAGATTGGACAGCAAACTCTCTGAGACTCTTGTCTCCACTAAACTACCCAAAAAGCCAGAAGTGAAACTGTGGCTCAAGTGGTAGAACACTAGCTTGAGGGGGTGGGGTGGGTGTACTGAGGAGAGGGGCCTCAGGGACAGCTCCCAGACCCTGAGTTCAAGCCCCAGGACAGCACACACAAAAAATAAAAATGGAAAATCCACTGGGCAAGATGAGCAGATTAGAGAGACATGAGTGAAGAGCTGGAAGATGATGGTAGAAATTATAGTCAAACCTGATGGGGAAACAGGGACCAACCTTCAGTGGACTGGGCCCACATCAGGCATCGGGATGTGCAACAGGACTGGAATCTTCAAAGGAGAAGACTTGCATATGAAGACTCAGAGCACAGAAATAAGATGGTGACACAATGGCCAGGAATTTCTGCCCCCCTCAAATCATGAACATGATAAAGCCACAGGTTGAAACAATAAGTCCAAGAGAGAGAAACATGAAAACAACAATCCTGGGACATTACTCAAATTTCTTTAGATACATAATCAAGACGTGTTGTTTTAAGTGAGGACTTAAAAGATCATAGGTGTGGTTGGGGAGGAGGGGTGGCCCATACAGAAATGCACAGTAGGACAGGAACTTCATGAGGAGCAAAGGACAACACGTTTCACGATTAGGTGACGGTCCCCAAAACTTCATAGAATTCTGCATGTAGTTAAAGATGGCTTTTACCAAGAAAGTCAAACTTTTTGAATCCAAAATATGAAGAGCCAAT